TGCAGATCTCAGTGACCCTCGCCGGAAAGAGGGATTGGGGGCCCTTAAAGAGGAAAGGGCATTGCGTTTTTGTTTTATAAGAAGTAAAAGCAAAAAAGAAAAACAAAAAGAGGGAAAAAAGAAGGAAAGAGGGTTTGGTTTCTGCAGCGGGTGCCTGAGCGCCGAGGCTTTGTCGGCTCCGTGCCCAGTGAGGACGCCCTTTTCGCCGCGCGCGCGCGCAAAGACAATGAAATAAAAATGCAAGATGAATTAATAAACCTTTTTAATTTTGTTAAGAGAAAAAGAACACAAAAGCTCCTTCTAGAAACCCTCGCTCGCCGCTCCGCCGTCCGGCGGTCGCCGCGGAGCCCACGGGCACACACTTCACCCCCGCGCCGCCGCAGCCGCCTATTCGTCTTTTCCCCCAAACTTTCCTCTTTTTTCTTCAAATTTGAATTCCTAATTTCTATTTTATTCAATTCAAATTCAACTGAGTCCAATTTAGCCGAAAAGGGGCGGCGGCAGCTCCAGATCGGCCTTCCGCCGACGCGCGCAGCAGCCCGGCGCACGCTGCAGTGACCCTCCCCCCCACCCTCCTGTTTTTGTCTTTTTTTCGATTATATTTTCATTTAAGTGATTTATTTATAATTAATTTCCATTTTAATGCAAAATTTCACGTTTTTGCGCTGCCAGGAGGCGAAAAATCCGCCGTTTAGACCCTCCCCGCGCAGCACCAGCAACCCCTGCCCTGCCACGACAGAGCCCGTAAACCCTAAACCCTAAACCCTCACTAAATCCTACGTTCTTAACAGCTCCAAACGTGCAAACCTGGCACCTAGAAAGCCCTCTGAAATAGGCAGCAGAGGGGGCCCCTGCAGCAAACGGAGAAGTCTCCAGCAGTTGCCGTCGCCGCTACTGCTGCTGCCGCCGCTGCTGTTGCTGCTGCTGCTGCTACTGTTGCTGCTGCTGTTTGCTGCTGCTGTTGCAGCATCTTCGGACCCCGCTCTCTATTTCTCTTTCTCCAGTGTTTACTCTATGCAGCTTCTCACTGTGTGAGGTGACCCTATGCCTTAGGTCCTCTGCTACCAGACCCTAAACCCTAGACCCTAAACCCTAAACCCTAATGTTTTGGGACAGACAACGTCAGAAACACCAAAGACAAGAAAGCGTGTCACGGGCAAGGGTCCGCGAGCTGTCTGTGTCTTCTAGCGGAAAATTCTGAGCCCCACACCCTGAACCCCAAACCCTAAACCCTAAACCCTAAACCCTAAACCCTCGACACATTGGCCGTCAAGCTTCTTCTTGCGGCAGCGCCAGGAGCCGCAGGCGAACTGCCTGAGCCAGCTCGGCGACCTGCAGCAAAAGCCGCATGCGCAGCCCCAGACGCTGCACCCAGACCCTAAACCCTAAACCCTAAACCCTCGCTAGGGTTTGCAACTCACGTCAGCGGGCACAGGGCTGGGCGCGTCGCAAAACCTGAGGGTTTGCTCTACAAAGGAGAGAGCAGCAGTCCGCAGTCTTCTTCCCTCAGCTTCGCTGCCCCTGAAGGCGCTTTTTTCTGAACGCAAACCCTAAACCCTAAACCCTAAACCCTAGCCCGCAAACCCTAGGCCCTAACCCCCAGTGAGGACGCGCCCAGCAGCCCCCGCGGGCGCCTCGCAGGGCGCAGAGAGACGCGCAGCTGCTGCGCCGACGGCCTAGGGTTCAAAGTTTAGGGTTTAGGGTTTAGGGTTTGGGGGCTGACCCGTAGATATAACTTGGGCTATCAGCCGCAACAAAGACAAACAAAAATAAGAAGCAAATGGGGGGCCGCAGAGCCGCAGCAATTCGGAAAGAAAGAAGCGGCAGATGCTTCTGTCCGTGTGCGCGTACTGCAACGCGCACAAACCCTAAACCCTAAACCCGAAACCCTAAACCCTAGGCCGTGTGGCCTGAATCTGAGCGCTACACTGAAGCAAATCAACTCCCTAGTATCTGAACCCACCTCTGCAGCCTCTGCACTCCAGCGGCTTAAGACAGAGGGTTTAGGGTTTAGGGTTTTCCAACGTGGGTTGCTGCTCTGTTGTGCCGCTAAGTGCTGCTAGGGTTTGGGGTTTAGGGTTTAGGGTTTACGACGCGTTTGAAAACCGAAATGACTGCCACAAACTCTCCCTCATATTTGCAGACATAAAGCCAGAAGCGAACGATGCAAACCCGCCGCTGCAGCAGCAGCAACGGCAGCAGCAGCAGCAACAGCAGCAATAGCAGCAGCAGCAGTATGAGAAGCAGCAAATGCAGCGCCCCTCAGCAGCAGCTAGTGTGCCACTGTGAAACAACAGCGGCAAAGGCCGCAAATTAGCAGCTTGAAAAGAATGCGGAAACCCTAAACCCTAAACCCTCGACCCTAAACCCTAAACCCTAAACCCTTGAATGTACCTCCATGCGCTTCTCAGCAAGAGCAGGAGCTTCTCCTCGGTTGCCTCCACAAACAAACAGCCGCCTGAGCAAACAAGCCCTGAAACCCTAAACCTCAAACCCTAAACCCTAAACCCCAAACCCTAAACCCTAAAACTCAGAGCCTTGGAGAAAGCATGGGCAGCTATTGAAGCTTTCAGTGGAGCCGGGGCAACTGCTGCTGCCGAGCTGGTTGGGGCAGCAGCAGCCGTTTCCTTTGCTACTTTTGCCGCTGCTGCTGCTGCTGTTGCTGCTGCTGCTGCTGTTGCTGCTGCATGCGTACCCCAGAAGGTCAACAACTGGGGGCCTTTTGTTGCGATGTAAATCGACCATGAGTTTGAGCAGCACGAGGAGTCCGTCTGTGACAAGCAGCAGCGGGTCTGCTGCTGCGTCTGTTGCTGCTGCTGCTGCGCTGCTGCTGCTGCTGCTGCTGCTCAGCAGCTGCTGCCGCACAAACGATAGCACTGCAGAAGCAGCAACATTGGTCCCCATACACCCCAGCAGCGCCTGCCACTTTGCACACAGCGGCCAGTCCTCGCGGCGGCAAATGCGATATATCTGCAGCCACAAACCCCAAACCCTAAACCCTAAACCCTAAATCCTAAACCCTAGCCCTGGTTCGGGGAGGCGCTGCAGAAGCAGCGCTAAAGTCCCCGAGTAATCCGCCCCTGCAACGAGCAGCGTTGGCTGTGTGTTGCTTCTAGGGTTTAGGACCTAGGGTTTAGGGTTTAGGGTTTAGGACCTCCAGGAGTTCCTTTCTGGCAATGGCCTTGTAGCTATCCACGGATTTAGCGTATAGCTGAAACCTCCGACTTATTCTTTGCTGCTGCCGCTGCGGCAGATGAACTCCGCGGCCAAGTCTGCTGCTGCCTCGGGCGCTCACGAAGACTTCGCTGCCCAGCAGGCTGTTTGTCTCTGCTGCTGCTGCTGCCGCTGCCGGGCCTGCTGCAGCTGCTGCTGCTGCTGCCGGGGCTGAAAACGACGCTGCGGGAAAGGGACTTGACTCTGCAGGCGCTGCTGCGTACGCGCTGAAGGCTTTGCCGCCTCCGAGGTACAGCGGCTGCTGCTGCTGCTGCTGCTGCTGGGGGGCTGGCGGCAGCGGGTGCTGCCACGGCTGCTGCTGAGGCGGCTGCTGCTGCCAGCCCCGAGTCTCCACTGCTGAAGGGGCCACAGAAGTGACCACACTGCTGGAGGCGAGGCTGCTGCTGCTGCTGCTGCTGCTCTCCGTGATGGACGCTGCAGCAGCACAGCACATCGAGCTACCCGAGCAGCAGTAGCAGCAGCAGCAGCAGGAGCAACAGCAGCAGCAGCAGTAGCAAC